TATATATATATATATATATATATATTGCTGGATAGAGAATTACCCTCCGTCCTTCACCAATTATATCTAAAATGAAAGGAATTAATTACGACGCCAGGGGGGGGGGGAACAGGCGCATAAGCAACCCACAACATACCTAAAATGCAACACACGTAACCATCGTCCTTAATTCTCAGAAATTCAGTGACAGTAACTTAAAATTATGTTTTTGAGTCTATAAAAGAAGGTAAGTTATGTTTCTTGCGCCCTAACCTACAAAACAAGACATTTTTGACACCAATTGTGAATTCTGGAACAGCACACGTGCCCTTGCGAACTCACCTATCCAAGCTGGTACTTTTGTGTTCTTTAATCATTTACTGAAAAAATCCATAAAATATCTATATTTAAATTGTTGTTTCTTATGTTTTGTTTTAAATCATCGGAGAATATACGCCTTTTCGAGTTTTCTTACCTGAAACGAAATAAAAATTAGCTTAGTGTGTGTTTCCTCCAACTTTTTATAGAATTAACGAAAGGAGTGGATAAAGTGGGGTATAGTTGCATGAATGTTATGTCCCAGAAAACAAGACGATACGATCGAGTTTTCTTATTTACCATGAGTGGAATCATACCCTTTATCTACGTGTTACGTTGAATATTTTTTCATTTACATTTAAAAATAATTTTGAGAATAATAGCTTTGCTTGAATAGCTTTGAAATCATTTCAAGCATCTTTTTACCATTAGTGGCGTAGATTTGATGACGTATTGCTTCTGAAAAAGGTCCTGAAACATTTCAGCCCTGAATTTCACCTGTATTTTTTTTACTTCAGCTGTAAATGAATATGATATGTCCATCTACTGACAAACGAATATCGATGTTGAAATTTTGTTAAAGGCCAATCTTCCTTGTTAAGGCTAATACTAATTGATAAAATTCCAGAGACAGTGAAAATCATCGGATCCCAGTGCTCAGAATCGCTAATTAACGCCCTGGGCATATTTTTGTCGACGTCATGCCCCAAAGACAGCCAACGTTGGAGTCTGCGTATCCTGGTGGCGACATCCAGTTACTTCGCTCTCCTACTTGCCGCTGTCTACTCGAGCAGCCTCGTGTCGCATCTCACTGCTCCGAGTTCTGCTTTGCGCATCGACACACTTGAGGAAATGGTGAAGGCAAATATATTTTGGACTGCCAGACACAGCTCAGAACCAGTGTTTGATAGAAATGTACGTGATTCATTAGTTTCATATTTAAAAATAGGAAAAGTAAACTTTCACATGATCAATTGCCTTAATCACCTTAATTTAAATAGTAATGGAAATTAAAATTGGACACTCAAGTAAATGCCACTTCGGATAAATAAGTAGTCATTTTTAATTAATGAAAATAAGTTAGAAAAATTCACTGACATTGTTCTTCATATTCGAGAAATTCACTCTTCTACAATAACTTTTATCTATCAACAGATATCCTAACTACTCATTTTTTTGCTAATCGTATTTTGCAACTTGGTTGAAAATTACATTCGCTTATAACTACACGTTTGATACACATTCAAATGTGCGAATAGGGATTACGTGCGTTTGTTATAATCGGATGTTTTGATGATACAAGGGTGTTAGTGTGAACTTTCTACTACAGACACTACATCCTGTTGATTAAACATAACGCAAATATTACACTTGCAATAAATGGTCAAAGATAATAAGAAAAGAGTATGGTATACAATACCATATCCGTATACAATACCATTCAATACGTGCAATACGCAATTTTTGAGATCCTGTTTACGAATTATACATGACGTTTACTTTCCATATAGCTCTAAAAAAATCTTCAGTTCTCGCGTTCAATATTCAGGGATATTTAGTTGATTTTTGAAGTTTGATAAATAAAAATGGATATATGTTCATTCCGTAATCACTTTTCAACCCCTGGAGCTGGAATCGAAGAACTGCTCCCTAACTTAACACGTGCAAAACTGCCAAGAAAGAAGATTCTAGGTGGTTTGGACCTCACAGGTTATCCATTTCGGTATATTATTAAATGTGCGTTTCAAGGAACTCCCAAAACCGGTATTCTTTGGTAGGGTTCCTGGTCGGGCGGCGTTGTTACTATTCGTTGCCAGAATTCACACAGGGTTCCATAACCGACGATCAGGGGCGGTCGACTAGCCGTGACCTCGAACCTCGTGACCTCGAAGGGTGAAGTCCGAACGTTCATGTACAATTTGTATGTATGTATGTACTTAGCGCGACAGCCCAAGAACGGGCTCAGGCCTGCCGGCGACGTCCCTGCCTCGCAGCCATGGGTTAAGGGGGTTTGCGTGGTTAACACGTAGACAACCCCACGCCGTATTCCGGTCTTCTCAACCCGAGAAGTGAATTTTCTCATCCTCACACAGCAACATATACTGGGACGTTGCAAAGAAAACACACACTATAATCTTGCCTCACCGGGAATCGAGCCCGGGGCTGCAAAGCGAAAAGTGGAAAGAGAGCACGCTGACCAACAGCTAGCCACGATGACTCATTTACATTTTACCTATTCAAAATATTCCCTGGACAAGGGGAATTACAGCACAACCAATTGCACAACTGATTTGCAAGCATCAGGATTTTAATACTAAGGAAACTTTAATTTTGATAACGAAACATTGTAGTCCAGTCGGTAAGTACATTCTACCTGAAAAAAGGTACATACAAAGGGCGTTATAAGGGTCAAATGAAGGGTTCGAGCTGCAACAAAAAGCCGGAGGGTCTTGGGTGGGGCGACCGCCACGTTCAGCGGTGCTGAATTCGAGGTACTGTCAAGGCAACACACTAATCCTCTATTCTCCAATTGTAACAGGAGACTTTTTTTTAAAATAAATTGACTTCTATCAGCTGGTACGCTGTAATTTAATCTGGAACTTCCATTAAAAAAAGACGTCCTAATGAAGCATCAGATTGGATAACTGCGTCACAGCTGATAGCTGACAATTTACCCCCTGATTTAATCGGATAATATACCATATTCTAAACTCGAATCTCTTTTCGTCCAACTGTTCAAAACAAAACATACGAGTTACATGTCCTAACCAGATTTTTATGATATAAGAAAACCAGTTCTGTAGAATTGAATTTTTGCTGCACTGTTAGTCAATAATTGTTTTTTTCGAGTAAAAAGTTTGAATTTTTTCATTAGTATAACGCAAAATTAATTTCCTAGGCATCTATTTACGCAGGCGTATCCAACTTTAAATACATACTTTAGCCGTCACAAATAAAATTTTGAATACTAATATTTTATTTCGTGGCCAGTGAATATTCAACTAATCTGATTTCGACATACCAGATATTGAAATGTAATCACTCACGATTTTATTACTTATCCAGGATCCTGTGCAACAAAAGCTCATATCTCGCTGGCGGCCGGGCAGCACGCCAGAAGCTCGTCGAAAGGCAGTGCTGGACCCCAGAGGCTCGGTGCTTGGTCGTCGACTGTACGGATTCTTCTTCATTAATCTCGCCGAGTTCCCCGTCCCTAGCGAAGCTCTGCGAGGACTTCGCCCCCTGAAGCAGTGCGTTGCCACTTTCTACTCTTCAGTGGCCTTCCGCAAAGGTTCGCCTCTGGAGGAGCGGTTTCGAACCTTCATGTCGCGATCCGATGCAGCTGGGCTGAGCAGTCTGTGGGCCCAACGGGTCATGCAGAGACAGACGTTGCAAGCCATCCCTAGTGATGACACCTTAGTCGCAATAAACGAGAATACTGAACCCCTATCGTTGGCTCACCTATCTGGATCATTTTTCGTCGTCGTCGTGGGCCAAATAATCTCCTTCTGTACGTGGATAACAGAAAAGATCATCCTAGTTTTATTAAAACGTTTAGGCATGCGAGGTACATATGTAACAGAATTTAGAAATTAGTGTAAAATGTCAAAGTGGAGTCATACGATAATATGAAACCACAAGTCTTAAAGTAAATAGTATGACAAAACGTCTCGTGCTTGTGCATTCTCCTTTTTCTCATTGATTTCGTACTATGTCTTATACGTGATTGATATATCGTCACGAATAATATGTTTAATTAACATTGTAAGAAAATAAAGTATCTGAGCAATTCGTGATCCAAAATTCATAAAAAAAGGTCACAATAAGGATTAATTTATTTGCAATTTGCTGTACAGATATTATTTACAAAGACTTGATACCACTAATTTACTACTTATAGTCAAGTTCTTAGAGATGCGGAGTGACACATATACCGTTGTTACAAAGTAACTGGCATCCCAATTCTCAACAGCGGGGATCCAGGCACAGAGAATATGTGGAACAATGTATGCACAAATGACTAACTGCACTGATATGTTCATGTTCATCCTATGTTGCTCTCGAGTGACTGAAAAGATCAGTGTTGTCTAAAAAAGAGTAAGCATTGTTGTCTAAAAAAGACGCAATATCTGTAAGTAAATGATAACGGGGCAAAGTTATCACTTTCCGGGAAACGGGTTAATAATACCGCGATATTTCAGCTTCTACAGGACATGCTGAAACGACTTGATGCACATGTGGAAGCAGTGGCCATAAGGATGCCGTACGCAGAAACGATCCAGTCCACCGAACCAAACACATCAAAAATTGTCTAGTGCATTTTCACCTCACAAACACATACATGGTTATTTGTCACATACAACACAAATACATTTTCGTTGAAGGATTTCGTTTTCGTTTCAATTATCCGAGCGATTTTAAGACGAAATGCTGATTGTAAGAAGTGGTCGAACAAGGTTTGATTTCACTACTGTCTTCTAAAGTCAAAATGGAATTTTCAACGAACTCGCCGGACTCATGTCTAGTCCTACCGACAATACTTTACCCTAAATATGTCACAAACATTAGCAACAACAGTGAACGCAATTCCACAAAAAAATGAGAGCCACTTCAATGGTCCCACACATGTAAATTGAATGGGTGAAAACCAGAACGGTATAAGTAACATTATTTAAATTCTAAGAAAAATTTGTTTCTTTTAGATTATGTTTCAGTGGCAATGCATTTTGGTAATTTTAATGATGAAACAAAGAATCAAGTATTTACAGAGATATTGGCTTAAATAAAGAGATTTTTCAGAATTTATAAAATGCCACTTATAGCATTCTGGTTTTCACCCATTTAATGGCCATAGATAATAACGAGTGCTTTGGAAATTGTCGATAAATTCCCGCGAATTCCGTCGCGAAGACAGGAGGGAATTTATCTGTGAATTTCCAAACCACGAGTGGTATTTAATAGGACTATTCCACGAGTGAAATTATGTCCAACGGAGTTCCAAAATGCGTCAAATATTGAAAATAACTGAAAGTTGTGTTAAAATCACCTGAGATACAGCGATCGAAGTAATATACCGCCACCTAAGATACATGAGTCACAGTTTATGGTTAGCCAATGGGATGAAGCGGTAAGAAATATCGGATAGAAAAAGCGATTAACTTTTCGAGATACACAGCCCTGATTGGGGCATTTTGTATGTATAGTTACACAATATTGGTTTTAATTTCACGAGTGGAATAGTCACAATAAACAAAGCCGCTATATACCTTAACACACAGCCGCCTAAATCCAAATGAAAGAGTACCGTAGGTGTACGAATTGGACAGAATCCCGGAAAACTTTCTCCTCTCTGTTGAAGATAGATGAAACGTCTGACACAGTGGTTTTATACGCTTAGCAGCGCCCATTCCACCTGGCAGCCAACAGTTTGTCATTCCCTGTTCTTTTCAATTGGAATCGAGGAAATAAAAATCGCCCTAACTCCAGGCATACACACTCCGCAGGCCTGAAAAATTACATGTCATTCTCTCAGTGATCACAAATGATATTCAATAACTTATAAATATTGCAGCTGTGCGTCCCTTATTTATCTCTCAAATACTTAGTTAAATTTTGCACTAAAATAGTTGGCAAAAGTTGGATGAAACACACACAAAACATTTTTACCAAAGTGTGGAGTTGGTGTGCTTTTGTTCTATTGTCTTGACTGAGGAGCAGAAGGCTGTGAAGTACCAGAACACGCGCCCCACTCCTTCTTTAGTGTATGTTTTTCTCTTACCAAAGAGAGATACGTAATGCGATTACGACTCACGAGTGCAAATGAATATACACTACGTGATCAATAGTATCCTAACACGTCCAAAATGGTGTTATGGTGTGGTCGTATTGCTCATGGAGGAGGCTTGCACCCCTTGTTTTGTGTGGTACTATCATGGCATAGGCCTACGTTGATGATTTAAACACCTTCTTGCTTCCCGTTGTTGAAGAGCAATTCGAGGATGGCGATTGCATCTTTCAACACGTTCGAACACTTTTTCACACTGCCCGGTCTGTGGCGGAGTGGTTACACCACAATAACATCCCTGTAATGGACTGGACTGCACAGAGTCCTGTCTTTAATCCTACCAAACACCTTTGGTATGTTTTGGAAGGGATCATCGACCTTCATCGATACCTCTCCTCAGTGCAGCACTCCATGTAGAATGGGCTGGCAGTCCCCAAGAAACCATCCGGCACCTGATTGAAAGTATGCCGGCGAGAGTGGAAGCTGTCATCGAGGCTAAGGGTGGGCCAACACCCTATTGAATTTCAGCATTACCAATGGAGGGCGCCACGAACTGGTAAGTCATTTTCAGCCATGTGTCCGGATACTTTTAATCACATAGTGTATAAATGAAACAAATACGCATATTTCGTATCACCAAACTACTTGGCGAAGAGAGGGTAACACAATCACCTTTTAACCGGAAGGAATAAATATTATCTGTGAAATATGGAAGTGAATTTATTTCAATTCCCAGATCGCTCCCCCTCCCTCCGCTCTTCTAGCCGCCAACCTCGCATGGCAGAGAGAGAGAGATAGAGATAGAGATAGAGAGAGATAGAGAGAGGTAGAGAGAGATAGAGATAGAGATAGAGAGAGATAAAGAGAGATAGAGATAGAGAGAGATAAAGAGAGATAGAGAGAGAGATAGAGAGAGATAGAGAGATAGAGAGAGATAGAGAGAGAGATAGAGAGATAAATAGAGATAAAGAGAGAGAAAGAGAGAGAAAGAGAGAGAAAGAGAGAGAAAGAGAGAGAAAGAGAGAGAA